TTCTTGCCAATCTCGCGTCGTCTTAAAGGCAAATAGAATGGTATAATTTTTTTGATATCTTTGGTGAGTTTAAAATCACGCTAGAAATGATATATCAATTTGGTTAATTTTAGTTTCTGAAGCTCAAATTTTATAGCAAGGAGATTGATAACAAAATTGAGCGCTGATGTAAATTTTAGACCTGAATTCTATATTATGGATTCATATAGCTAGAAGAACTTCTGGCCTATGATTGGGATCTTTCTGGATATCTTTTTTCGATTTTGACCCCAGAACCCCCAAATTTATCCTACTAGTACTGTAATTTAAATTTAATCAAATTTTTTATTTAAAATCAAAATATTATTAAAGAAAGTAAGTTATTTTATTGATTATTAGTATTAATTATATTTTATGTTATAATTTGAATTAATTGAACTTTTATTAAAAAAATATACATTACTATTAGAAAGTGAAATTATTTTAATTAATTATTAATATTTTTTATTACATTTATTATAATTAAATTAAATTAAATTTTTATTTAAAAAAATTTAATCAAGATCTGGCTTCTTTCAAATCTATAGGCTGAAATCTCTGGTGCACTTGCACTATGTCATATAGTGTATTTCTCAAAGTCACTCATTAATGCAACAGACTTTAGTGGTAAAGGAAGGGATGTCAAAGAACGTGGCTTATCCATCTAAGATTCCTTTTGGGAATCGTATCTCTGATGTTAGACAGGTTTTTTCAGAAAAGAAGAAGTTGAGAAAGTATTGTTCATATGGATATTTTTTTGCTAATTATAAATATAGTGAGGCTTGCTAGACATAGTGTTTACATTACTTTGCATATTATACTTTTGCCTGATACATCGAATCCTATTTTATACATTTTCCAACCACATCTTATATCGACAGATTGCCTTCTTTGTGAAATAGCAAGGTGGAGGATTATTTTTTAGCTTCATATAGTCCTCGAAACTCATATCACAATATTCATTTTCAGTACAATTTGTACACCAATGCTTATCTATAAAGAATGCATGAAAATACTCATATCCACTTCCTAATTTGAAATAGATAAGCTGATTACAAGAATAATATATTCCTATATTTATTCCAAACCAAACATTACACTGATATAATAAATATGTTTGTTTTCTGGCGATAAGATATCTTTTATTAGAATCAGTCAAAAGATGATTTTTTTTAAATTCCATTAATGTGTTCCAAATTCGATCTTTCCAATCTAATGGAGTCTCATTCCCACGCATTTTAGGAAGATCATAGTTAATATGTGAATCAGTTACATTTAAATATACAAAGGGGTCAGAATATACTATATTTAGCCGAAGTGCTGTATAATGATTATATGCAATATACTGATTTTTATTGATTTTATTAATTTATAGCTGATTTAGCAAGATTATACTCTACTAAATCTGAATTTATTTTTACTTAGTCAGAAATGAAAGGTATGGAAATATTGCAGGCCTGAGGATTTATATAGAGACATATGCTAATTTTATATTCACATGCAATGTAAATTGATTCGCAATCATAAGAGAGTAACAAGAATGTGCCTGATCACTCTTATACACATGATTTTAAGACATCAACAGCTTCCTACAATCAGGAAGTAGATATATATTCGTCATATACAGCTAAAATCATATGAAAACACCACACCTTATATGCTAGTAAAAGTTTTTATTAATATATCTACACATT